CTATACACATATATAGGGGTATGTACCTACATACACACACATATACATGTGTATGGACTACACACATGCACACATATATGTGGTTATATATCAGCATATACTTGCACACACATGTGTATATGATGATATGTATTACAGGGAATTACCTGGTTGTGGAACTAGCTAGGCAGGTCACAACCACATTGTTACTTCAATCCAACAGCATAGGAACATATACAGTTCATGTACTTGATTACTGTCTAATAAAATCTAACAAGAGAATAGAGTTTAGAAAACCAGTGGAATAAGTATGTATTATTTTTATAATTGTAAAAGACATTTTTAATTCTTAAAATAAAAACAATCGATAGCAGCACAATTTGTTATAGCTAAATCTTGGAAACAACCTAAATGCCTATCCACTGAGGAATGGATAAAAAAGATGTGGTATTTTTATACAATGGAGCATTACTCAGCTATAAAAAAAAGATAAACTAGAGGCTTTTGTAGGTAAATGGATGCAACTAGAGACTATACTCATAAGTGAAATAAATCAGACCCAGATGTATAAACATCATATTGTCTCCTTGGTGTAGGATCCTGAAAGACTAGGTAAAACTCAAAACGTACAATAGATGATAGGAAAAAGAAAGAAATTGCTCAAAGGAAGGAATGACTGGGATGAGAGAAAGAAGAAAAGAGAAAGAAGAAAGGAAAAATATAAATAGATATATATGAATAGCTGCAATAACTGTATTGCTGATGTCTGATGGTATACTGAAATGAACAGTTAATGCTTACAATTTTTTATGTCCTGATCAATTTTGCATGCTTATATCTGGTAATCTGAGCAACTGATTTGAAGGTAACAATATGCAATGGAATTACAATGGTGAATTCCTACCATCTTGTCTAGTGAAACTCTGTATTATCTCTATTGTTTTATCTAATAATTATTTTCTTATTCTCTTTGATGGTTTGAACAGTCTTCCATTCTTTTTTTTGGTACCTGGAATCAAACTCAGGACCTTGTGCTTGCCAGGCAGGCACAGTCCTCAATTCTTACATCTAGTAATCAGAGGAACGTAGTTGAGGATAGCAATATGTAATATAACAACCACTGTTAATTCATATTATTTTGACTTGAAACCCTGTATCACTTTAAATGTTCTTGCTTTGATTTGTTTATGCTTGTGATACTGGTATGCTGCTATTGTTCTACTTTTTGTTTGTTTCTCATTTACTACTCTCTTTAAAATTAAAATAAAAAGAAAAACAATGGAAAGGAATAGCGTTTATCAGCTCTTTCTCAGCAGAAGATAATTCAGGAGAAGTGCACTGTAAAATGGATGGTGGTTCCTCCTTTCAGTTCATGTCTGCTCCTAAGACTTGGAGAAATAGGATGCATCTTAAAGGAGCCTGAGCAAATGTGAGGCCTTGGTTAAAAATAGCAAACCCCTTGGTAAATCACAGCCTTCCACATGGTTGGTCAAAGAAAGACAATGTGCCCCAGGCTTGCAGGTCAGAAGTGAGTCTGAAATTGTTGGAGCTGAGTGTCTTCTCCTCAACAAGCTCTTCCTCTGTAAATAGCTATACGACAGACACAATTTGCAAATGACCCAAAACAGCATCTCAAGCAGGAGTTTATATCTGCCTAAGCCAGACATCCCCGAAACCTCTTGTGTTCACATACCCTTAGCACCTGGGTGAATTTTTCATAGCACTTCCAGGCCAGGAGAAATACCTAACAGTTCTGGTCTTTAATGATTTAGGTCCAAATAGCAAAGTAAGATAATTAATACCTTAACAATTTAATAACCATCTGTATTAGTCATGTTCCCATTGCTGGAACAAAATACCCAGCACCCACAACTTTAAAAAGGAAAGTTAGCTTGGCTTGCAGATTCCAGAGGGCTCAAACCAGTCACCTCGCGCCAAGGCAGAAGCAGGAAGGGGGAAGGCCCTGATGGAGGCCGCCAAGAAGTAGAGAGAGAAGGGAGGAGCCAAGAACAGTACCGCCTTCTGCCAGCGCATGCTGGTGACCCACCTCCAACAAGGGCCCAGCCACCTCCTGACGGCTCACGCAGCTACCGAGCTCATCCTGGATGAGACTACTGATGAGTGCGGAGCCAACATGACCCAGCCACTTTCCAAACACATGAGACTTTGGAGGAACCTTTTAAATATAAACAATAACGTCATCTGAAAAACTAGTCCACCTAAACTGGAAAAATATGTATTTTACTCTTAAGTAATTATGTCCCTGATCCAAACAGATACAGACATTTGTTTTTTGGTGATATTTATTTCTTTGGTGTTTTCTTGTAGTCATAACACCTAAAAATCCAGCTTGTAATGATACAAAATCACTGAAAGGAGGATGACAGTCTCCATTAACAGTGGGGACAACCTGGAGTTAGTGACTCAGTTGCCAACAGATGTTGAGTGTTACTGTATTTTTCTCAATTTTTTTAAAACATTACAGGGCACCCTTGTGAATTTGTTGTGGCACCCAAGGTGCCTTGGTGCACAGTTTGAGAACTGAAGCTCTAAGCATTTATACAGGCACCTTGAGCCCTAAACAATGTGATTTAAAATCCCAAAATACTTTCAAGATCAAATCAGGCCTTCTAGATATTTCCTCATTTTACTTGAGACAGGTTCAAGTTATTTAACTGAGAAGAAAACACAGTATGATGTATCTAAGTTTAAATTAAATATTCTTGGAATGGAAGCAAGTTACTAAGTGTATTACTGTTAAATTATCACCGGTATATTCCTGCAGCCTTTACTTCCCCTGCCATACTCAGTTGGAGAGGCTTTAATTTTTATATTCTCTTTGTTTTGTTATTTCTTTATGGTCCATTTTTTGTCATACTGGTGAGAAAAAATTTAATGTCCTTGTGTCAAGAAAGGCCTATTTATTCTGACAAACTGATCAACCTCCAGGGTGTTCCTCCACCATGAAACTGATTTTATATCTCATCCGCTGGTTAATAAGATGTGAAGTGCTTTTCCTGTCACGCCAAGAGATCAGACTTGCTTCCCTCAAAAGCAGTGAGTGAGATCACATTGCGTGTTCTTAATGACTGAACCCTACGACCCACAGTGTCCCAACAGAGCATGTCAGAGGAGAGTGATGGAATTGAGGCAAACCTAGAAATTAGTAGATACATTTAAAAAAGTAATAAAGCCTCTAGAGGAAATGCTAGGACCCCACTCACTGTGCACTATTTTCACTTTCAGTTCAGAGAAAGTAAAATGTCAGGGACTAAAACCTGGGGATGCTGGTGATTTGTATAAGGACTTCCTCGCACACATTTTCTTTCTTTGAACCTTTGGGTAAAATTGAAGTCCCACAATGTTTGACTTCAGTTGCTCTGCTGTAAAAGGAATTTAACACAGGTTGAACATCCCTAACTCAAAATCAAGAATGCTTCAAAATCTGAAACTTTAAAGCATGATGCCACAAATGGAAAATCACACATCTGACCTCATGTGACAAATCACAGTCAAAATGCAGGTACACTAAAAGTAGTGCACAAAATTATCTGCAGGTTGTTTGTGTAAAACAAATGAATCTCATGTTTAGACTTGGATCAAATTCCCAAGATATCTTATTGTGTATATGGAAAAATTCTGAAATCTGAAGAAAAAACACCAAAATTTGTAACACTCCTCATCCCAAGCATTTCAGAAAAGGGATACTCAATTTGTACCCTGAAAGTGGTAGCTTCAAGATCAATGATGGCATATCTCTGTAGACGTAATCAACGTATTCTAAAATGCTTTAGTATTTACATCTTATATTTTGAAACTAAAATGATTTTCAGATAATTTTTAAAAACGGGAATTGAATATAGGGAAGGACAGAATTCTGTTCAGATGATGAAGATGACATAAAAGGAAAACATGTTGGGTGGACTGCGTTTGTGAGCCCAAGAGGAGCAGTGATGTCTTTTGGAAGAAAGTTGATGTTTTTTATATGTATATACATATCCATCCTGTTTGTATTGTTTTCCCTTTTCAGTAAAAGTAGTTTCATCTTAACCAAAACCAAGCTGAACACCTGGCTGATGCTAGAGAACATTGAGACCTCTAGAAATGTCTTGAGTGTTCCAGACATTCAGTGGCTTTCCCATGGTGTCTCAGGAGTTAGATGTCCCTTGGTATCTTGGTTCCATGACATGTAAATGCTGAAAGAAGCACTGTCACCTGGTAGAAAAGCCTGCTGCAACCCATATACTAGTGTCCAGCAGATTCCAGAACCAAGTACCACAGACTGCGGGGTTTGACAGCAGAAACTGTATTTTTCATAATCCACAAGGCCGGAAACCTGAGATCAGTGTGTCAGCAGGGTGATTTATTACATGGCCTCCCTCCAGGGCTTGTGGATGACCACCTTCCCCTCGCATCCTCCCTGGGGCCCCCACTCAGTGTGTTGTCTGCACCCTCATCTCCTAAGGACACTTAGGAGTCACATGGGATAAGGGCCCCAGCCTCACCACTTTAAGCCCTATCTCCATATCCATCACGCTCTGAAGTAAGTACTGGGGTCTAAGATGTCAACATATGAAGTAGGGGGTAAAAGGACAGTTCAATTTTTAATAACCTATTTCTTCTTTCCATAATGGCTTTCAATACAAATAATAGGTCCATGACACATTTGTAGAAATCTTCTACACATACAGACAAACATTAAGGGTGCACACCGGAAGGAGGTGTTTTCCTCCATCCTAACGCCCTGAGCGTTAGGTCTCCCTTGCATTGCTGTCTCTTCCCCTGGGCTGAGAGCATTTGGAGGTAAGGAAGTTCACTCTCTGTAACCACAACAGTGCTCAGAGCACACCTTGACAGTGGACAATAACAGCAAAGTATAACTGGTTTTCTTTTTCACAAAAAGTATTTTGAAATAAAAAGCATCGTAAGTCAGAGAATGAATATAATGAGTTCGGAAAAAGGAAAACATGTTGTGGCTGAATGCAACCGCATGTTCCTGATGCATGGGTGTTCTTTTGCAGTTTGTCTTTTGCCGGGACTGCAAGGAAGCATACCATGAAGGTGAATGTGGTGCCGTATGTGAAGCCTCAGGAGCAGGTATTCAGGTACAGAATGCCCTCCTCATCCTTTCAAACAGGGTTCAGGACACTGGGGGTACAGGAGCTGCTGCCTGGAGGTTCCACTCTGAAAACCCAAGCCACAGAGTGACAGGCCACAGCCCTGGGAACAATAGGGCTCTGGCTTCCAGGACCACCCCCTCCTCAGATTACAACGTAGATGTCATAGGCATTTGGGGTGTGCTTGTAATTCCAGGATAGTTTTTCCCCAAGTCAGTGTGGAATAGGGATAAGGTTAACATTATCAGAGGTGTCTTTAGAGGGGCGATAAAGCAACTTAACAATCTCCAAATCAGAGAAATCAATACTGACCCTACTTTTATTTTTTTAATGTTTTTTATGGAATCTGTAATGAAAATTATCTCTGTAAATGACTTATAGATGTTCCTCACTTTATCATAGGGTTACATCCCAATAAACCCATCATAAGTTGAAAATATTATTAGGTCAAAAATACATTGAATATCCTTAACCTACTTAGCGTCACAGCTCAGTGACACAGTGCACTGCCATCCTGGCTGTTACCCAGGTAGTCTGGAGCTGACTGAGAGTCACGGCTCCCTGACACTGTCCAGCTTCACCGGTGAGGGGATTGACACCACATAACTCCAAGTGCACTGCTGTTGACTGAGTATGGCTTTTATAACATCATAAGGTTGAAAAATCAAAATCCAAACCAATATGACTCAGGAATTATCTCTACAGAAGTCTTATAATGTACAAGAAGATCATTTTTTAGCAATGACATGAACTCTGCTAAATGGTATTTCTATATTTATTAAATAAACATCCTGTTTCCTGAATCTTACTCTTTCCTGTGCTACATCCAACTTAGGAAAATGCAAATGTGTTTTCTTTTATTCATTAATTATGATCAACCAAACCTTAGAGGAGAGAAGTAAAAACTTCAGCACAGTTGATAAATTTGCTCATTATTTTTTTCTTGATGTAGATGTTAACAGAGTTTAAACACCAAATCTTTGCAGATAAATCTTCTAGTCATTTCTTTGGTAGGAAGCTAGTCATTAGACATAGAAATTCCACAACATTTTAATTTTATAGTAAAGAATGCTAAAGATCTGAATGATCTAAAATGAGGACATAAGGGGATGGGGATTTAGCTCAGTGGCACAGCGCCTGCCTGGCAAGTGCAAGGTCATGAGTTCAATTCCCAGTATCGGAAAAAAAAAAAAAAAAAAAAAATAAAATGAGGACATAAAAATGTATATCTCTGTGTTCTCTAGATACGTTTATCTAATATTAGCATAACTAAATAAATACAATTAGTGAATTCAGGTCTTCTCATCAGCTCCTAAATTGTTGGTCATGAGCATATTAGGAAATTTAAGGATGAATTGCCCTTTTCATAGCAGAAGTAGAAAATTCTCCTTCTGTCAATTCATTTTAGCTCAGGGACAGTGAAATCCAGATTCACTCAGCACTGACAGGGGGAATATTCATGGCCCTGGGACTCCTGACTCAGGTTCACTTCTCCCAAGAGAGTGGTGCCTAGGGCCCTGAGAAATGGGGTTAGTTAGCCTAGCAGTTTACATCCATGTGTTCTTAGGGCTGCACACAAGGACAAAGACTTCTCAGGAGCAATACCCTAATGTCTATTTAAAAGCAATACAGAAAAAGGAGGAAAAGAATTACTTACCCTTGAGCTGTCCAAGGACCTGACCCAGAATCCCATGCTTTCTTTATCCAAAGGAACCAACCAATCTTATCATTAAAGCATTTTTTTTCCTTTAAAAATCATGAAAACCTCAGTATTCAACTCAGAACAGTGTAAAGAAAGAAAGTTGAACTTAAAAATAGATGCCAATATCAAGGGAACTGTGTCGACAATGTCAATTGTCACATTACATCGATCATTTGTATGGGCTACTTAGCCTGCAAGACTCTGGCAAAATACAGATATTTCCCTTCAGAGGCTTGAAGGAAGCCACAGGGATACTGGAAGGAAAATGAGCACTAGTAGAAATATGCCGAACTGAAGTTTAGCAAACATGTAGCTGCGTATTACATACACTTCGCTAGAAGTCATAGGAGATAGCTTATAAAGAGTAAACAGGATAGCGGTGATAGAGACGGTTCCAGAAGGCGACATTGCTTGGAGAAAGATGCAGGCAAGAATCTCCCCTAGTCCATCCTGTATCCCCAGCCCAAGAACACAGAACGAGGTCGCTCTGATTAGAGACCACATTTAGATTAGGCTCCTCCTGCTTCCAGCTCCTGATCACAACACCAGCCTCCTATTCCTCTTATCTGACAACAAAGTAAATCAACAAACCAACCAAGCAATAAAAAAAAAAAAAAAAAAATCTGCTCGTCAACCATTGCAGGAGAACAGAACTTGCATTCTTTGCAGCCATTCATCCTAAATCTCTTGATTCAGTCAGGGCCCCACAGGAAAGTGAATTTGTGAGGAACTATTAGTGGAAGGCATGACCTGCAGTATAGGGGAGGGTCACAGATGGAGCCAGTGCGGGCCTTGGAGCCTAGAATCAGAGGGAACCAGGATTGTCCTCTGCAGAAGGGACAGGAGGAGGAAAAGGTGCTTCATGAACTCTATGAGCTGGACCTGCAAGGAAGGACCTTATGGCAGGAAGAATAATTGTGGAAGGTCCAGCATGGCCAGAAATGGGTCCGAAGCAGGTCAGGAACACAGACAAGACATCTGTCTTCTCTCCCCCACCTTCTGAGTTCTTCTTGATAGTGCCTCCTACTGGCCAACTGAAAGCTAACCATAGGACCCTAGGGACACAGCCCCTTGGAGTCAGCCCTTTGGGTCAGGGCAGAGGACAGACGAAAATATAAAATAATTAACATGTTCTCTGGGCCAATTTCCCAGGGCTCCAAAGGTTTCCTTCTTTCAACCATAGTTGACTCCTGGCTGTGGAAAGAGGCCAACCAAATAAACTGGTTAGTCAAACTGCAGCACCCCGCTGCATTTTGTGACAGAGGGGAGGGTTTTACTTTAATAGAGCTGCCTTATATTCTGTTCCTGCATTTCCATCAGACAGCAACGAGCTCAGGGAAGGCCACCCCTGTACTTCCACTGACAGCAAATCTTTAAAAAGACAGCACTCTGCACAGCTAACTATCAAAACCACTTGCAGCCCACCTTGCAATGGAAGGCTTCCGATGCGCCTTCATGTCTGAGATTTGCTAATACTAACAAAATGCCCTCACTGGCCCTCTTCACATCTGTGTTCCAATTCAGTTCACTTGCAGCGTTTCTCTTTTTAGCCACTTGGGGCTCCTTTCCCCTGCTTCAGCACTGATTGGTTTCCTTTGCTATTACATTCTCAGCCAGGAAAGCCCATTGCTCCTGGGGCCCACTCAGCTTTTCCTATTGGTTAGGCAGCTTGACCCAAAGCTTAATGCATTTTTTGATTAATGCAATATTTTTTTTAAAAAAGAAAGCAAACTTAAAAATTGGTTTTAAATTGGTTTTAAAATATTGAACAAGCTTTAGGTTGAAACTGCTGAGAGTTTGGGAAATCAGCGACAGAAGATCAATCCATCACAGGCTAATGGGAGTCCAGGCCTATTTGCTTCCTCTCATTGTGGGCTGCTGCTCTCTCCCACGTTCTGGTTCCCTCCATCTATTTCCCCTGAACAGCGCCTATTAACTCCCACTTGCTCTTGCAAACTACAGAGATTGATTCATTCTCCCAGTGGCCCTGCGTCATTACTGTTAATCCCCCTATTTAACAGAAGAGCAAACTGAGACCTCAATTTTTAATGACATTAAGCCACAGAGGAAATCTATTTCAGTGGCTATACCTGACTAAAGCAGTTTGGAAACAGTGACTGCTCTCTCATGTTAATAAATTGACAATGTCTAAGAAGAATGTATCCATCCCTGCCCGTCAAGCTCCTACTCAACCTTCAGGGCCCAGATCATATATCTCTTCCTCCATGAAATCATCTTCCCACCCCACAACCTTCTCTGGGCCTCAGGTAAATTGCACATGCTTCTATTGCATATTCAGCACACAGAGGGAAACATTGTTTCCCTCTCTCTTGGCTGGATTTGTTAATGCAAGGTTTGTGCCTGTGGCATCTATATCCTCCAGTACCTGCACATAGCTGGTATCCATTAAATGTTTGTTGAATGAACAACATCTTCTTTCTTCATTCCCATATGCCCCATGCCCCAGGAAGCTGCGAGAACACTCTAGAATTTCTAGGCTGACTTTTGACTCAATAATCTCTTGAGTCATTAGAGAAAATAAGATTCCCAGTGTAAACCACCATTCCCTCCATCAGACTTCCAGATTAAAAGAATGAAGCCACCATCTTGCCTAAGATAAAAATAATAACACCACTTATAATGTGCTTAGTCACAAAGTATTTTCAAATAGACCTTATTTTCTGCCTCACCGCAACTTTTTGTGATAGATTATACTTGGGGAAGGAGGCCTGCCCAGGGGCAGAAATATGATACCCAGGTCAGTGGCTGCCGCACCTGCCAGGACTGACAACCACCTCAGTTTCCACAAGGCAACAGCAAGGCACACACTTTGCTCACTCAGCATCTTGAGGGAGGCAAGCAAGCTGCTATTGACTTGTTATAGATCCCACCAAAGATAGCAAACCCCAGTGTTAGCAGGGACCAAACCTCTAAATGCATGAAACAGTCTTTTAGGTTTTTTTTTTTTTTTATTTTTTTTTTCCAATACTGGGAATTGAACTCATGACCTTGTGCTTGCCAGGCAGGCGCTGTGCCACTGAGCTAAATCCCCAGCCCCGCATGAAACAGTCTTGATTCAGCCAGGGACCTCCCAATATTTTGATGAGGATACAAAGAGATATTTCACTTTTCTTCTACCTCTCCTATTAAAACAAATAGAATAGTTACTAAATTACATCAAAACATTAGCTTGCAGGCTCAGTCACACACTGCCGAAACGTGGAGTCTGTGGCAAACAGAGTATGGGGCTTGGCAAAGGGGCAGCTGTTACATGGCCACACAGCTG